AAAAAAAAAAAAAAAAAAATTAGTTCACTGATTGGTCTAGCATAGTTCTGGGTAGGAATAAGGGTGCCCCAGCCTGCATGTGAGTGCTTACCCACTTTTTTATTTTGTACCAAGGATCAAATTTGGGACCTTGCACTTGAGAGGCAGGTGGCAGCACCACTGAGCTAAATCCCTGGAGCAAGTGCTACCCACTCTTAAGGGCAGGTAGCCTGGATGGAATATAAGGGATAGAAAGAGGGTTGTTGCATGTCCATTGTTGCTTGCTTCTTTTGCTTCCTTTTGCCTGCCAAGAACTGATTCTCCTCTGCGATGCCTGTCTGCCATGCTACCCTGCCTTGCTGCTAGCAGATTGTAGACTGAAACCTCTACAAACTGTGAGCCAAAATAAACCTTTCCTCCAACTCTGGGTGTTGGGTATTTTGTCTCAGCAATGAGAAAAGTAACCAATACAGATATGTAGGAAGCAGGTAAGGAAATCATAAATTTTAAGAAAACTGCAGCTTTGGGGCCGGGGATTTAGCTCAGTGGTTTCACCTCCTGCTGCACAGGCACAAGGACCCGAGTTCAATTCCCGGTACCAAAAAAAGAAAAGAAAACTGCAGCTTTGAGATACAAAGTTATCTAAGGTTACAATGCCTTTTCCATCCTTACACCTGTTTATTTTTCCCTTTAGGCTTCTCACTCTTAAATTGCTGCAAAGATACAGTAAAACCCAATGAATGTAATCATTATATACTGCAAACATGTACTAATAAAAATAAATATTAAAAGATACAGTAAATCCATAAATTTGGCCTGTGTTTTCTTCTAATACTATAACCCATAAATCCCAAAGATTTCCACTCTGAAATAAACAGTACTACCGGTATTAATTTGGTACCATATCTGCAAACACTTACAAACGAGTATGCATTTTTTAAATCTTTTCATGTTTACCATAATATAATATGAAGATATTAATAAAGAAAATATAAAAGCACTCTTCTTACTTCTATGGAAAAAAATTTTCATAACAAAATAATTAGAGAATGATAATACTTAATTGTGATAATGATAAAATGATAAAAATGATAATACACTGTATATTGTAGTGTTTGTTTTTTGTTTTGGGGGGTTTTTTGAGACAGGGTCTCCTTATGTAGTTCGGCTGGCCTTGAACTCACTATGTAACCCAGGCTGGCCCCTAACTCCCAGTGATTCACCTACCACAGCCTTCCCAAATGCTGGGATTAGAGGTGTGCACCACTATGCCTGGCTTATATCATATCTTAAAAGAATGGCTGCTAGGGTCGGGGATTTAGCTCAGTGGTTCCTTGCCTGCCTTGCCTGCGCAAGGTCCCAAGTTCAATGCAAGGTCCCAAGTTCGATCCCGGTACAAAAAAAAATAAGAACTGCTGCTGGGTGTGGTGGTGTATGCCTGTAATCCCAGCACTCGGGAAGTTGAGACAGGAAGATTGCTACAAGTTCGAGGCCAGCCTGGGCTACATAATGAGTTCAAGGCCAGCCTGAACTGCATAGTAAGACCCTGTCTCAAAAAAGACCAAAAAAAAAGTGGCCAAAATGTTACTCAGATGAATGGCTAAACAAAATGTATTTATACACAATGGAGTACAACTCTGCCATAAAGAAAGATAAAACTTGAAGACATTCATAGTTCTCAAATATTATAGGTTTCTCTTAAAGACAGAGAGAGGGAGGGAGGGAGGGGGAGAGAGAGAGAGAGAAATAGAATACAAAATAGAAGATAAATAGGGACATAGGGAAAAGTCCAAATAATTTCCCAAATTACCTATTCTGTTGAGTCAAAAAAAATTTTTTTTTCTGGTACTCGGAATCAAGCTGAGGAACTTACACTTGTCAGGCAGGCATGGCTTGTCAGGCAGGCATGGCGCCACTGAGCTAAATCCCTGGCCTCCTGAAAATATTTTAATATATATGCTACTTTGTTTCATTTATGCTACTAATTTCTTACTTAGTGAAGAGAAAGTTTTGTGCTATCTTGTCAATAGGTTTTTTGTGTTTTTTTTTAAGACAGGGTCTCGCTATGTAGTTCAGGCTGGCCTCAAACTCACAGTGATCCTCGGACCTTATCCTCCAGAGTACTGGGACTGCAGGCGTGTGCCACTATGCCCGACCAATGGGTATGCATTTTAACCTAGTTGATAAAGCCAGTTTTTACTTTAGCCCAGTAATGGGCAACCTGACCTTAAGGAAACAGACACTAGGTAAATGGAAATAACTTTAAAAAATAAATAAACACCTTAGGAATACCTCAAGAACACAAACAACCCCAGCCCTAGGCCACAGTGTAGCTTGCCTCTTGAGTGCCTGTACTCTGCTAAGGGCACATTTACTTTTTTTTTTTTTTGGTACGGGGGGATGGAACTCAAGTCCTTGAGCTTTCAAAACGGGTGGCTTAACTACTGAGCTAAATCCCTGGCTAAGGGCACATTTTCATTCTGCCTGATACACCTGCCCATGCCTCTCACCAAGATGCCCTGAAAGCCTTTTCTGTGGTGCTGGCCCAAGGCCCTAGGCCCCATCTCCTCTTTGAAGACCTTCTCAGATCCACCCCACCTGGGGACAATTCTGCACAAGGGACTTTCCTGCTGCAAATAAACTATGGATCTTTTGATGAGATTATCCTGAATCATCTGAGTGGGCCTAAAATGTAATCACAAGTACGCTCTGAAGATGGAAGCATAGGGAGATTTTACTGTGGTCAGAGGAAATGCAAAGGTGACACAGGTGGAAGCAGCAATCAGAACACTGCACTCTGAAGATGGAGGACAGGACCACAAGCTAAGGAATACAAGTCCCCACTAGATGCTGAAAATGCAAGCAAACATCCTCTCCTGAGAGCCGTCACGAGAAACCCTGCTGCTACTTTGACCTGAGCCCAGGAAAAGCCATTTGGGGACTTTTGATCTGCACAAATAAATTTGTGTTGTTTTAGGTCACAAAAGTTGTGGCAACAACAGGGAAATAATATATTTAGTTACAAGAAAAAAATTGGTAAAATTTGTGTGTGTGTTGCTGGAAACTGAACCGGAGGCCTTTGCACTGAGCTGCATTCCCAGCACTTTTGAGTTAGGGATTCTCACCACTACACTAACAAGGACGACTCCCAGCATTTTTGAAAAACAACTTTATATTTTTTGCGAGGCAGGTGGTGGAACCACTGAGCTAAATCCCCGGCCCAACTTTATATTTTTTGAAATAGGGTCTCATAAATTGCTAAATTCCTCAGGCTGGGCTTGAACTTGTGATCCTAATGCCTGAACCACCCAGAGTGCTGGAATTACAGGCAAACTGATGAAAATTCTTGCACTATGAAAAATCTATTATTTATTTTTTTGAGACAAAGTCTTGCTATGTATGTAGTTCAAGCTGTCTTTGAATTCACTATGTAGCTCAGGCTGGCCTCAAACTCACGGCAATCCTCCTGCCTCAGCCTCCCAAGTGCTGGGATTACATTCATGCACTACCACGCCTGACTGCCCACTATGAAAAATCTGAAAAGAAAAATATGGAAAGATATGTTGACGACTTCACTGGACATACATACAAACTTAATCAAGATCTGGCCTCCTGCCTTGCAAGCACAAGGTCCCGACTTTAATCTCTGGTACCAAAAAGAAAAAAAGAAATCTGATGGTAGCCACATCTGGTGGTACATGCCTATAATCCCATTACTCTGGGAGGCTGCAGCAGGAGGACTCCCATGAGTCTGAGGCCAGCCTGGGTAATTTTGCAAGACCCTGCCTCAAATAAAAATTTTTAAAACGGACTGGATATACTTCAGTAGTATGGCATGCCTGAATTCAGTTCCCAACACTGCAAAACAAAAACAACTTCCTTTCATTGGCATAAACCTAAAACCAAAAGACTGGAACTAAAGAAAACACACCAAGGAGCTGCGGGCAGTTCAGGGATAGAATACAGGCTTAGCATGCATGAGGCAACCCTGGGTTCAATCCCCAGCACAAAGAAGGAAAAAGGGAGGAAGGAAGGGAAGACAAAGAAAAGGAGAAAAGCAGGCAGGCAAGCAATACAAAATGATTTTACTGCTGTCACCAACAAACCAGAGAACTAGCTCAGCTCTAAAAGCTGCTGTAGTCCAAGGATTTCTCGTTCTCTAAAGTTCACTGGATGAGGGTCAAAATACATCTCTTTGGGCTACTTCACACCAGAACAACCTACTCCATGAAGCTAAATATGTAAAGGCAGAGATGTGATTTTTCATTTCACACTAAATCTACCATGTCAGACTTCCCATATGCCCAAATCTGCTTGAGTTTCTGAATGCTATGGAGCATAGATTTTGTTTGTTTGTTTGTTTGTTTTGAGACAGTGTCTTGTTCTGTAGTTCAGGCTGGCCTTGAATGCACTATGTAGCGCAGGCTGGCCTCGAACTTGCAGCAATCTCCCTGAGTGTTGGGATTACAGGTGTGCACCACCATGCGCAGCTGGAGTACGAATCTTGCAAAGTTCTAGAGGAAAAAGAAGAAAATAGATTCTTAAGAAAAAAAAAATTTTTAGACTATGTCTTGCTATGTAGTACAGGCTGGCCTTGAACTCACTGTATAGCCCAGGCTGGCCTTGAACTCACAGCAATCTTCTGGCCTCAGCCTCCCGAGTGCTGGGATTACAAGTGCATGCCACCATGCCTGGCTCCTAAACAATTTTAACTAACTTTTTTGCAGTGTTTTTCATAGCTTACCAAATGTTCTCACATCTTGTACAAACAATGAGAAGTGGGCAGAGAAGTAAGGCACACAAAAAGATTTTTAACACTCATCAGATTTTCAACACTTATCAGAAGCTACATGCAGTGGTTAGAATCCAGTGTTTCCTTTTATGTACCTGTGTGTCAAAGACATTATTCAGCATAATCCCATACTGATGAGAGAGGCAATCAGAAAGCCAGCGACAATCGTGAATAACCTAAGGAATCAGAAGATGAAGACAGAGTAATTAGAACCTAGCTGCTAATCTTACTAGCTGAGGAATCAGCTTATACACTTGCCTTTAAAATTCTTTTGTCTTCTAGTATCATCTGAAGTCCATTGCTGAAAGCTCGACTTCCCAGAAGGAAAATGTCAAATAAGTAAACTCGGCTATTTGTAGCCACCTACAATAAATCATTTCATGGGGTAAGGAACAACTGAGGAAAAGAATCCGAGGATCAAGAATATAAAACATTGGATAAAATATTTTAACATCTTCATTGTTAAGTAAAGAGTAGATATTCAATGATTCTTAGGGAAAGTAGGTTTAAATTAATCTTAAGTATAAAAAAGACACAGTAGGGCTTGGATGCAGCTCAATAATAGAGCACTTGCCTAGCATACATGAAGCCCTGGTTCAATCCCCAGCACTGTAAAAATAAAATACAGTGAAAGACATCATCATTGTGATTTTCAAAAAGAAAGAAAAAGATAAATCATGAATTCGGCTTTCATTGTTGACCCCCAAACTTTAATATCTTCCCAGCCTTACTCATGGTTTTCTGTGATATTTTGAAATAGTATTTGATCTTCTTCCTGGTTTCCTGATATAAACCTTCTAAAACCCTTGAAATCTCCACAGTGCTGAGTATCCTTTAGAGGCTAGTGACTGGTGGTTGGAGGCTTCTAGACATTTGTAAGATAGGGATGGGGTTGGTCACAGGAAAGACCAAGGCAAGATTAGAATAGTGGGACTTTTAGCCCTCTGGGGAGTAAGAGGGGCTGGAGACTAGATTTATCATCAATGGCCAGTGATTTAATCAACTGTGCCTGCCTAACAAAGCCTCCATAAAAACCCAAAAGGACTGTTTGGTGGGCTGCTGGGGAACTAAGCATGTGGCGGTGCCTGGTGGCGGCATGTCCCTTCCCCAGTCCTCTGCTCTATGCCATCTCTTCCATCTGGCTGGTCATTTACAATCGTCACAATATTCTTTATATTATTTGAGTAAGTGTAAGTGCTTTTCTAGGTTCTGTGAGAGGCTCTAGCAACCTCCGACATATATATGTGTATATATATATATGAAATATAAATAAAAAAAACTCTGAGATTCCATCTTATTCCAGTCAGAATAGCTATGATCAAGAATAACAGCAATTGGGCCAGGGATTTAGCTCAGCGGTTTTGCCGCCTGCTGCGCAAGCGCAAGCACCCGAGTTTGATCCCCGGTACCAAAAAAAAAAAAAAAAAGAATAAGAGCAATAAATGCTGATGAGGATATAGGGTAAAAGGAACCCTTGACATTGTTGGTGGGAATGTAAATTAGAACTGCTATGGAAATCAGTATGGTGATTCCTCAAAAAACTAAAAACAGAGGGTTGGGGGTTTAGCTTAGTGGTTCTGGCACCTGCCTCGAAAGCGCAAGGTCCTGAGTTCCATTCCTGGTACCAAAAAAAAACCAACAACAACTAAGAACAGAAATTCCATTTGAACCAGCTACATCTCTTCTGAGTATATTCTCAAAAGAATTAAAAACATTGTATTATAGTGATACATGCATACCCAGGTTTATAACAGTGCAACTCACAATAGCTAAGCTGTGGAAACAGCCTAAGTGCCTGTCAAGAGACAAATGGATAAAGAAAATGTGGGATATATACACAGCTGAATATTATTCAACCATAGAGAATGCAATCAGGTCATTACAGGAAAATGGATGGAATCTGAGACCATCATGCTAAGCAAAATAAGTGAGACACACAAAGTTAAATATTGCATGGTTTTTCTTATATAAGAAACCTAACCTCAGACAAAGGTCAACTATCTTGAATCTATAAAGAATTTTAAAAAATCAGACCTCCCAAATTTAAAGACCCAATCCAAAAATGGGCATCTGAAATGAACAGACATTTCTCAGACAAAGAAGTAGAAATAGCAAATAAATACACGGAAAAAGGTTCAACATCACTGGCCATTCAAGAGATGCAAATGAAAACAACGCTGAGATTCCACCTCACTCCAGAAAGAATGGCTGCTATCATGAAATCCACCAATAACAAATGCTGGCGGGGCTGTGGGGAAAGAGGAACCCTGCTCCACTGCTGGTGGGAGTGTAGACTAGTGCAACCACTGTGGAAATCAGTATGGAGATACCTCAAAGAACTAGGACTGGAAGTACCATTTGACCCAGCTATTCCCCTGCTGGGGATCTTCCCCAAAGAATTAAAAGAATCATACCACAGTGATATATGTGCACTCATGTTCATAGCAGCACAGTTTGTAATAGCTAAAACTTGGAAACAGCCCAAATGCTCATCAACTGGAGACTGGATCAAGAAAATGTGGGTTTTTTCTAAAATGGAGTACTACTTGGCCATAAAAAATGAGAAATTAGAGACATTTATAGCTAAACGGATCCACATTGAGGCGATACTCTTAAGTGAAATAAATAGGACACATATGTAAATACCGAATAGCTTCTCTAGTGTGAGAAATGAAAGTGTAAATAAGGACTAAAAGGTATAATAGATAATATGAAATAGGAAGAAAAGGGGCAAAGGGGAAGGGGAAGTGGGAGGGGTAGGGAAAAGGAAGAAGGGAATGGAATTAATATGAGAAAATGAAAAAAAGGAAACAAAGCCTTTGTAAATAGGGAGGGATGGAGGGGTTGAAGGGACAGCAGGGGAAGGGGGAAAAAATAAGAACCAAGAGAGTATGTAAAGGTGCGTATCTCCATTGTTGAATGTCATTATATTGTACACCTAAAATGTACCAATAAAAGGATATACAAAAAAAAAAGAAACCTAAAATGTAAGGAAGTAAGTAAATAAAATAATGGAGGGATGACAGGAAATAACAAGGTAGACTCTTGGAGATGGGGAAGGGCTGGGGGAGGGGAGCAGTAAGGGCGTGGGAAGTAGAGGATGAAAATGATCACACTGTGTTACACACGTGTCAAATAGACATCTCTATTCTGTTTTGCAAATATATTCTTTTTTTTTTCGTATCAAGGATCGAACTCGGGTCCTTGTGCTTGCGAGGCAGGCGGCAGAACCACTGAGCTAAATACCCGGCCCCCTTTTGCATATATATTCTAATATAATTTTTTAAATATATCAACTACCATTAGTAACTATTCCAAAATAAAAAATGTTTAAAAATCTCTTACCTGAAGCCAATACAGTTTCCCATGGCGACACACATTAGGCCCTTCTGCAGCTACACTCAGGACACTCTGCTTCTTGATGTGGAGCATCTGGTAGGAAAGGAGGATGCTGCAGGGAATGGATGGGGCACCCTAACGCCATGAATGGCACACAAGGACACAGGCTGCTTCTCCCACACACAGGAATCACTCTTGAACACTGGATTCTCTTTCTCATTTTAGCAAAAGCATTACACAAGCAGAAGATAAGTCACTCAGGCTCAAATGCTACTGACAGTTAAAAACTAAGACACCTTTGTTACTGCTGATGCTACCAAGAAAGAATTCTAGTCCTTATAACAAGATTCTGAATGCAGCTGGGCATGGTGGCCCATGCCTGTAATCCCAGTACTCGGGAGGCTGAGGCAGGAGGATTGCTGTGAGTGCTAGGCTAGCCAGGGCTATAAAGTGAGATGCTGTCTCAAAAAAAAAAGAAAGAAAGAAAAGATTGCTCATGGAAACTAAGTTTCCCTAACACAGGGCAATTTACTATATCTGAAAGGAACACAATATCTACTGTCAGAATGACAGAAACAAGCTCCAACAGGTACCTCACACCTTAGCTTCATGAACTATTCACAAGTGAAACAGTGGTATACTCTTATCCTTTAATTATCCATAATTTTATCCTTTTTCAAAACATTGTAAAATTCTAAAAGCCTTAAGTGTCTACATGATATAAGATTCTCCCCATTTTACAGGTAGGTGGATAAGTTACTCAAGAATAGAAGGGCAGGGCCAGGGATTTAGCTCAGTGGTTTCGCCGCCTGCTGCGCAAGCACAAGGACCCGAGTTCGATCCCCGGTACCAAAAAA